CCCTGGTCCAATTCCAGCGGTTTGTGAGCGGTTTGCTCCCTGTTTCTCAAATACTCTAATCCCTTTCCAGCGGTTTGCTTAGTGTTTTTCACATACCCAGTCCCCTGCGATCGGTTGTTTCCCTTATTTTTAATACTCTAGACTCTAATCTCCTTCAAGCGGTTTGCTCCCTGTTTCTCAAATGTTCAAGTTATTTTCGAGCGGTTGGTTTGCTCCCTGCGTTTTTAACACTCTAATCCCTTTCGATCGGATTTTTCCTTGCTTCTCGAATACCGTTTGGGCGATTTGGGAATTTTTTCCAACACTCGAATCTTTTTCGGGCGGTTCCGTTTCTCAAATTCTTTATCACTTTCGAGCGGTTTGCTCCCTGTTTCTCAAATACCCTAGTCCCTTCGAAAAGTTTGTTCCCTGCCTCTCATATACTCTGCTCTCGTCCCTTTCGGGCGGTTTGCTCCCTGTTTCTTAAATACTGTAGTCCCTTTCGAAAAGTTTGCTCCCTGCTTTTCAAACACTTTAGTCCGTTTCAAACGGTTTGCTCCTTGCTTCTCAAATACTGTACTTCCTTTCGAGCGGCTTTCCTTCTGTAACTCAAATACTCTAACCCTTTTCGAGCTGTCAGATACTGTGGTTCGCTTCGAGCGGTTTGCGTTTCTCAAACACTCTACTCTAGCCCTTTTCGTCAAATATTGCAGTTACTTTCGAGCGGTTTGTTTGTTGTTTCGCGAATACCCTAGTCACTTTCGAGCGGCTTGCTCCCCGTTTTTCAGAAAATTGTCTTGCCTTTTGCAGCAGGTTTTCTTGTTGTGTCTCAAATAGTCTCGTCCCTTTCGAGCGGCTTGCCACCTGTTTCTCATATACCTCAACCCTCATCGAATAGTTTGCTTTCTGTGTTTCCAAACACTTTTGTTGTCTTGCGAGCCGCTTGCTCCCGGTTTCTCAAATACTTCTAATCCCTTTTCAGCCGTTTGCTCTCTGCTTCTCCAATACTTTACTCTCCATCCAACGGTCTGCTCCTTGCTTCTCAAATGCTCTAGTCCTTTTTGAGCGCTTTGCGTTTTGCTCGTCAAACACTCCACTCTCTTTCGAGCGGTCTGCTCCCTGTTTCTCGAACACTCGAATCCCTTTCGAGCGGCTTGCTTTGTTTCTCAAACACCCTAGTCCTTTTCGAGCGGTTTGCCCCCTGTTTTCCGAATACTTTAATCCTTTTCGAGCGGTTGGCTCTCTGTTTCTCAAAAACTCCAGTCTCTTCCGAGCGGTTCGCCCCTTTTGTCCAAACACTGCAGTGCCTTTCGGGCGGTTGGCTCACTGCTACTCAATTCTTTTGTCCCGTTCGACCGATTTGATGCGTGTCGAATACCCGAACCCTTTTCGAGCGGCTTGCTTCCTGTTTCGGAGAAATTCTAGACTCTAGTCCTTTCGAGCGGCTCGCTCCATGTTTCTCAAACACTCTAGTCTCTTTCGAGCGGCTTGCTCCTTAGTTCTCAAACATTAGGGTCTTTTGCGAGCGGCTTGCGTCCTGTGCCCCAAATAGTCTGATTCCTTTCGAGCGGGTTTGTTCACTGATTTTCGAACACTCTCGGCCCTTTCAAGCGCGGTGCTCTCTGGTCCCTGTTTCTCAAAAACTCTGTTCTAGTTCCGCTTGAGCGGTTAGCTTCCTGTCTCTCAAATACTATAGTGCCGCTCGGGCGGTCTGCTCTTTGTCTCTCAAATACTTTAGCCCCGTTCCAGCGGTCTTCTCCTTGTTTTTCAAACACTTTAGTCCCTTTTTGAGCGGTCTGCTTCCACTTCCGAGCGGTTTGCTCCCTGATTCTCAAATAGTGCACTCCCTTTCGAGCGGTTTGTTCGTTGTTTCCCAAATATTCATGTAGGTTTGCTCCCTGTTTCGCAAATGCTCTAGTGTAGTCCCTTTCGGCGGTTTGCTCCGTGTTTCTCAAATACTGTAGTCCTTTTCGAGCGGTTTGCTCCCTGTTTCTCAAGTTTTTTCTAGTCCCTTTTGAGCGGCTTGCCCCCTGTTTCCCAAATATCCATGTATCTTTCGAGCGGCTTGCTCCCGTTTCGCAAATACTCTAGTCCCTTTCGGCCGGTTTGATCCCTGTTTCTCAAATACTCTGCTATAGTCCCTTTCGAATGTTTTGCTCCCAGTTTGTCAAGTTTTCTAATCCCTTTCGACCGGTTTGCTCCCCGCTCTCTAACACTTTAGTCCCTTTCGAGCGGCTTGCTCCTTGTTTCTTAAATACTCTAGTCCCTTTCGAGCGGCTTGGTGCCTGCTTCCCAAATATTCATGTACCTTTTCGAGCGGTTGGCTCACTGTTTCGCAAATACCCTCGTCCCTTTCGGGCGGTTTGCTCCTTGTTTCTCAAATACTCTGCTCTAGTCCCTTTAGAGCGGTTTGCTCCCTGTTTCTCAAACTCTCTCGTCCCTTTGGAGCGGTTTGCTCCCTGTCTCTTAAATCCCCCAGTCTTTTCTCAACGGTGTGCTTATCAGTTGTACTCAAACATGCCAATCCTTTTCGATTGGTTTGCTCCCTTTTTTAGATACCCAAGTGCCTGTGGAGAGGTTTGCTCACTGCTTCTCAAACACTCTAATCCCTTTCCAACAATTTGTTTGTTGTTCTTCAAATACTCAGTCCCTTGCGATCGGTTTGCTCCACGATTCTCAAACACTCTAGTCCCTTTCGAGCGGTTTGTTCATTGTTTTTCAAACACTCTAGTCCTCTTCCATTGTTTCGCGCACTGCTTCCCGAATACTCTAGTCCCTTGTAGCGGTTTGCCCCTTGTTTGTCATAACTCTGAAAGGTTTGCTCCATGCTTCTCATATACTCTAGTCACTCGCTTTCGTGCGGTTTGCTTTCTGCTTCTCAAATACCGTAATCTCTTTCGTGCAGTTTGCTCCTTGTTTCCCACATACTCCAGTCCTGCTCGAACGGTTTGCTCCCAGTTTCTCACATACTCTAGTGCCTTTGAAAGGTTCGATCCCTGTGCCTCAAATTCTGCAGTCCCTTTCGGGCTGTTTCCTCCCTGTTTCTCAGCAAAATAACCTAATCAAATCCCTTTGCAGCGGTTTGCACACTGTTCTTCAAAACACGCTGGTCCCTTTGGAAGGGTTTGCTCACTGTTTCTCAAACACCCTAATCCTAATCCCTTTGCCTCTCAAATACTCTTAAATACTCTAGGAGTCCATGTCGAGCGTTTTGCTCCATGGCATTGCCATAATCATCAATGTATGGCATGCAGTCTCTAGACTCCAGACCCTTCGGTGTTAACTTTGGAATTGCGTGCAGATCTTGGTACTTGCTAACTTAGAACTGCTAGAAATAAAACCCGAAAACCAAACGCAGCCCGAAAATGCTCCTCGCTTCGCGACCTCCCGGCCGCCTCGCCTCGCAACCTCGCGGCCTCGTGTCCTGACCTCGCGGCCTCGCGGCCTAACCTCGCCTTCACCTACCTCGCACACTCCTCGCGGCCTCCCTCGTATTTATCCCTCGCACCTTCACGCGGCCTGGAGCCCGCACCTAGTCGCGTCCTCACCTCGCACGACTGCCGGGGCCAGGGCCGGGGTCGAGTGGGTGGGGAGGGCCGGGGGCGGGGCCAGGACGGATGCAAAAACGCACTCCAACCGCACTTCAAACGCATCCCAGACGGATCGAAACAGACGAAACGTATCCAAAACGCATCCAAAACGCTCCGGCAAACACACATGCGTTCGACACGGACTCCCAAACGCATTCCCCCATGTATTTAAAACGCATTTTTAGGTTTTACACATCAACACCCCAATGTTAAAAGAACCTGATTTTCATAATCATAATCTAACCTAACCGAGCATAACGAAACACAACCAAACGAAACCCCTCCCCTGCCAGGAGACCCGCCCGCGCCGCTGCCAACCTAACCCTGACATAAGCTACACCCGAGCGATCTAACCTGAACCCGACCCAACCCAACCCAAAATGCCCTAAGCTGACCTATCGCAAGCGAAGCCCAGGCAGCAGATGCGAGAAGCTTGGTTATGACTTTGGTTTCTTGGTAGTCCAATCGGTCTGTTCTGGTTGTGCAATTGGCGGTTTTGTTTGTTCAAGAATGTCTGTTGACTGTGAAAGCTTGGTTGGTTGAGCAATCAGTTCTGATCCCATGTCCTACAAGGTCCTACAATCCTACAAGACAAGGGTACATAGAGAGGGATAGATAGAGGGGCCAACAACCGTTGCAGCGACCTGCGTTGTTTCTCGCGCAGTCCGTCCTTGCGAAAAGCTGCCAACTTGCCGAGAGTCTCCGGCGCAGGTGTTCGCGGCTTCTCGGCAAAGAGGTCGCAACAGGTCTTGCTGAGCTCCTGGACCTTGCAAGAGTCTATGAGCCATTCGGAGTCTCGCATCCGGCTATCCGCTTCACCTCTTGCTTTGATGCCTCTATTATACCTTGGCACTCTTGCCCCAGACTCGCAAAAGTTATCGCGGAAGCTCTTGTCCTCTCTGGTCCTTCTGTCGCTCAGTCTGCTGGACTCAGCTCCCCGCCCACCTCCGCCCCCCCCCCCGCCGCCGTCTCCAACGCAGAGTTACGGCAGAAGCCATTTGCGTTTTTGGTCAGCTTAGCCAAGGCGGGTAAGCACTGTTGAGCCCCCTCGAGAAATCGAAGCTCCATCACGGAGCGTGACGTCGCTGTGGCTGTATGTGGCTGTGGTCGGACTGTAGCAGCAAACCCGGACCCTTCTCAAAGCCATTGAGAACTTCCTAGGTGGCCACATGGCGAAGGCGCCTCATCGGACTGCTGCTGCAACTTGGAAACACGGAGCTTCGCATCTGTGAGGAAAGATCGCATCTCGGCTTCGAAGTGTTCGCCAAACCTGCTCGGCTTCTCCTTGCCCTCGCCTTCTCCATCACCTGGGCTCTTGTGAAGGAAGTCAACATGCGTTACCATGATAGGGGCAGCATACACTCTATATATATATATATACATACATACATACATACATACATACATACACACACACACTTACTAGGGACCCTAAGATCCATCCAGGTCGCCTGGAGGTCCAAGAGCTTCTTCCAGGATGGCGAGCTGCTTCTGCATTTCGGAGAGGCGTCGCACAGATTCGTCAAAGTCCAACTTTGAAGCTTCTTCACAGAACTTCAGCTCCAGCATCGCTCCCGCCTTGACATCGACATCGACTTCGTCCATAATGAATCGGAGAAGTGAATATGCCTTGCCCTCAAACCCTTCCACTCGGCTGAGCAGAGGTAGTGTGTCCAAAGTGAACCCTCGCTGGGCACCTTTGTTTGTACCGTGGTTCAGGTAGTTGCCAATTTGCATGATCACGGTGAATATCTTGCGCAGATTCTCGCATTTGCACGTATCCGTCAGAGCTGCATGCAGTGTCGTAAGATCCCGTTCCACCTCGTCGCACTCAGAGGAGAACATACCCCGTGTCAGGCAGCACTCGGCTCTCACCTTGAAGTCAGAGATGTTCATGAGCTGGATCAGAAACTCCTCGGCGCGGGCCCAAGGCAGCACAGTGGGATCATTGTCCTTCTTGAAATCCATCAGCTCTTGGAGCTCATCGCCCTTGGGGTACAGCTCGATCACCTTTGATAAGTTCTCAGCCTCAGCGAATCGGAGCCAAGCAACCTCTTACGATGCAACAGGAAGTAAACTCTACAACATCAGGATTCCCACTAGTACTACTGGTAGTAGCCACCTTATGCCCTATGCCCACATGGAATCTCAGGACATCGCGTTCAAGGCCCTCTCAGAGGCGTCGAGATCCAAAACACATCTCCGCACGTGGTCGATATTTACCCCGCAGCCATTCAGGAAAATCTCCACAGCTTGGCTCTTCTTGGGAGGCAAGCACTGTGCCACGGTCTTCTTCCTGGCCTCTTTTTGATCCTTCCACGCGGCATCTGGCGGCTCCTCCTTACTCTTGAAAAAGGTGCCGGTCAGCTTCTCGAGCAGAGTGTGCATCTTTGGCTTTCTCTCCGGCTCCTGCTTCGTATCTGCCTGATCATCGGGCTCTGCTTCAACATGTTCCGTCTTGTTCGAGTTGAGGCTCTCCACAATCTGCTGAAACATGGAACCAGCAAAGCGAGTGCCCACGACGTTCGTCCAATGAAACTTCTTACCAACGAGGTGCTTGGGAGGCTCCGGACCAGGATCAACATCGGGCAACGCAGTCTTGCCCTTGCCGGCAGCCTTTCCTTGGGGGCCTCCCTTCGGCGGAGCAGGCTTTCCCTTCTTGGGGGCTGCACCTTCGACGCCCTCCGCACTCTGGGAGTTCTCCTCGCAGCTTGGCCCTGGTGCGGGTCCGGGTCCTCCTTTTCCAGGCATCGGTGGACCTTTCTTGCCCTTGCCCTTGCTCGGCACTGCACTCGCCTGCTGCTCAGCTGCCTCCTCTGTCACGCTGGGCTCTTCGGCGGTTTCTGGCGAGGCCTTTGCAGGAGGCGGGCCTGGCGGACCTTTCTTCCCCTTTCCTTTGGCCCTAGCTTTAGGCTCTTCGGCTGTGGCTGCGTCCTCCGTCGTGCTGGGCTCTTCGGCTGCGGGCTCTTGCGAGGCCTTCTCCTGGGTTCCTTTCGAGGCTTCCAGCTGTAGACGGGCATCTTCGAGCTCTTGCTTCACCTTGCGATTCTGCTCACATTGATCCCCGAGCTGCTCGAGCACATCGTCCAAGTCGGCCTTTAGAGCTTTTGTTTGGTTCCTCTGGAAGCGCAGAAGCACTTCATGTTGCCCGGACATGCGCAAGCTTTTCATATGCCACTCCAGCTTCTTGCTGCCAAGCAAGTTCTTCAGTCGCACATTTACATTCGCATGCTTATCAGTAAGCTCAGCCATCGTGCTGGCCATGCGGACCGAGCGTCCCACGGCCCTCTGCATGAGAAGCAGAAACTTCCGCAGCTCTCTTCCAAAACCCCTCTTGTCTAGCTCCTGCATGAGACCGGTATGCATCTGCGGAAAGAGTTCTAGGGAAGTCACGATGTTGGTCATGTGCTCTTGCAACTCACCAGTGACAGCGGTAGCATCTTCGCTGACCCTGTCCGCTCCAACGAAGAGAGATTCAAATGTATTGTCCTTCATCAGTTGCGCGAACTCCTGCTGGCCGCGATCATCCAAACCGTAGGAATCATCCGACTCCGCGTCGCTGTAAGAGGCCTCCTCCACCGGGCGCCCGGCCGGGTCGCGGCCCGGTCCTGGGACCCCCAACCCCCCAGGCGGGAGCGCTCTCCGCAGAAGTGAGAAGGCAGGCAACACGGTGCTGCGCTGCAGGCTGTGGACGAGCGACAAGACGCCGTATCTTTGTTGAGTTGTCCTGAATTGCTCCCGTTGCTCCTCCAGCTCGTCGGCAAGCTCCTGATTGATTCGTTCCTTCTCGCGCAGCTGTCTGGCAATCTCGTCCCGCTGCAAAGACACTGCCTTGTTGGCTTGCTCGAGCGCTTCGGCCTGTGTCTGCAGGCTATCCCTCTCATTCTGCACCTCCAGCAAAGCTGCGGCACGTTGCTTCAGCTGCTGGTCGAGATCTGCTTGCAAGCGCTTGCGCTCAGTCTCTCCTGCTTCTCGAATCTCCGCCAGATGCCTGGTCATCTCATCGAAAGCAAACTGGCTCTGCTCTCGCAAGGCTTTGGCTCTTTCGACTTGCTGAGCTTGCACGACTCTTCGTGGCTGGGACTCAGCCTGTTCCTCGGACTGCTTCTCACACTCGGGAACCGAGCCCACTGCGTCCCTCAAGGCCTGAACTTCGACCTCCTGCGCGTGCAATCGCAGTTGCAAGTGGTCTCGCTCGGATGACACAGCTTGAAGCTGGACACGTGCATTCTCCCTCGCATCCTCAAGCTCCTGCTCCAAACTTTGCTTTTCACTCTCTAAAGAAAGTCGTATTGCTTTTACTTTGGAGTCAATCTGAGCCGCCACTGCCTGGTGGTGTGCCTGTCTGTCGCTTTGCAGAGTCGAGAGTTCCTTTTGAAGCTGGTCGAGCTCTTCTTTGTGTTCGGCCTGCATTTGCTGGATCTCCTCGTTGACGGCATCCAACTGTTCGTTGAGAGCGTCATTGGCGGATTTGAGCTCGAAGGCTTTGGACTGGTACTCTCGGAACTGGCTCAGCTGGCTGGCGCTCTGCTGTGCCTGTTCCTTCAAAGCGTGGACTTGCTCCGTCAGCGCCTCGTTTTGCTCCCGAAGTGGGGCCAAGGCTGCTGCATTACTGCGGCGCAGCTCTTCCAGCTCTTCTTCCAATCGCTGAGCCTCGGCCTTACTGGGCTGCGAACCACTTTGCGTGCTTTGGCGCTCCTCCAGGTCATGGAGCAGCTCCATCAAGCGGTTCACCTGGCATGGCTCTACAGGGCTTGGATATGCTTGGCCCAGTCCAACCAAGCGCCTCGTTGTCCTTTGCCGCAAGCTTGCTCTTGCACATTTCCTCGGCGACCTTGCAGAAACTTGGTGCAAAGTCCTTGAGGAACTGAACAGAAGGATTGGTCTCAAGCACTGGCCTCTTCAATGTACGTCTCAAGCGACCCTCCTCCATCTTTGTTTTGGTTCTTATTGGCCTTTGACCTGAGAGCGCTCGCGATCTGTCTCGGCAACGTCCAATGTACCATTCAGCCAGGTGGCAAAATGTTGATCGTCTGGGACTTTGCATCAAGGGCAGACTGAAGGTGCTTGATGGTGGTAGCTTTCGAATCGATGTCCTGATGACAGAGACAGCAGCTCAACAGAGGTATGTCTGTTGTTTGAATCGTGATCTGGCCTGCATCGGATCTAAAGGACTGCGAAACCTTGCTGGTACCATTCAGACTTATATCGACTCAACTGCCCTGACGGAAGCCTTCAGGGCTTCGGGGATCTTCGAGGCTTTGCCACGGTGGAAAGAAATCACGGCCACAAATCTTTGCAACTGTTCTTGCGCTCTCCCCTCTTTCATACCCGGCTTTGCTACTGCACACAACTCCCAAACAGTTATCAATCTCGATCTGTAATCTGCAGAATCCATGCGTCAAAATCTGGGATGCATGATGATTTGGGACATGGACCAACGGGAGCGACAGGTCCACGACGGATCCATCATGATGCTACCAGTATGCCACTGTTTTGCACGGAGATACCAGGCCTTCTGTAAGCTGTGTATCGTATGCTCAATCGAAGACCGCTCCATTCCGGTCATAGCGGGAAAGAGGATCCACAAGAGCTTTGAAACTATGTGATGAGATGCTGAACAGTTGCTGCAAGAAGGACTATCACACCAAAAAATTGAGCGATACGATATGATTGGCTACAAAACCAATTGCTCTACAAGCACTTGGACTCTTGTCTGTAGTTTGCCTTGCGCACAATTTGCCCTTACGATTCGCGAGACTTTCTGTGGCATAAGATTCGCATGTCCTCAAACGTGACATTGAACACCTTGCGCGGCAGTCCCGTGCCTCCCCCCTGATCGAGCAGTGCAGATGTGACATGTAGCCTCTCGACTATCCAATCAGCTCGTGAAGAAGACGTGTGAACCACACACAGCACATGTAGCAACGTCTTTTCAGAATGTGCGCAAAGGAGGCTGACGTGTCTGGCCCAGTTCAAGCTGCTGCTGCCTCTCTCACACACACACAAAGTGAAGTGATCCCCAGCAGAAGATTGCAGATTCCCTTTGCCTGCGCAGTATCTCCTCGTGTTCGGGCACAGGGAGGTAATAGTCATGCCCTAGGCCCGCTGCAGGCCCGCTGGGCCCGGCCGCGAGAGCAGATTACCCTCCGAGGCCAGTGCAGAGCAGCCCGTAGCAGATCTGCCGGCCTTCCATGCCCCGGAACCTCCCAAGGCGCCGTCGCAGGGGAATGCTCCGCTCTCTCTCCGCTGCCTCCGCTGGAGCACCCGCACGGCACGCCACCAGAGCACAGCCAGGACCAGGCCCAAGGTGGAGCCCACGGCCACCTCAGCGGCGCAGAGCTTTTGGCAGGCGCCGGGGGTGTTCGGCTCTGCCCCCTCTGCCTGGTTTGGAGTATGGTCACATAGGACCACCCTCATGAAGGGAACAGGCACCTGCAAGGATGCCACTAGCGCGCATGCATGCACGGCAGAGCCGCCCCGGGAGCCGGCACCATGAGGAAGAACCAGAAGAGGCCCTCAGCTCTCAGCACTCGCGCCATGAGACCGCGACTCTTCGAGTCTCTAATCACATGTCCGCCCCTTGCAAGATCTGGGTAATCCGTCTCCCCTGGCCCCAGTGCCCAGGCCCCAGAGTCGATTTTTCTTTCACTTTGACCAAAAAAGCGGCACCAGACCTCCCCGACTTGGGCAGAAGCTTCCAGCTTGCACGTCTCGGGCGCTAGAGGTTCTAGAGCTGTCAAAGTGTCACGGCTGCCGCAAAAGGATGTTCTCGAGGTTTTCAAATGTTTCGGGTTGGAGCACAGGAGCAAGTCGGAGCTTCAGAGTGGGGCTTAACCCTACGAAAGTTTGAAGTTGCTGCGAGGATCCGCAGCCTGCGTCGACTGAAGAGCTGTGAAAACTCGGCTGCCCAACCTTTTTTTTACGCCGTGCCACGCCTAAGGGGGCCCCTCCAGGCGAGACCACTCCCCGGACGAAGTCCCGGTGGTCAAGAGGAACATGGCAAGTCGTTCAGATCCTATCGATGGGGAGTCCTCATGAACGGGGATCCTTGACGAGTGTGTAAAAAACATGAAAATCAGCTGGGGCCAGCCAATGCCGCCGAACCTTTCTAAGCAATGTGTCCGACCCCCCCCCCTTGTTCAACGGCATAGCTCGGCTTCCTTTGCAGGTTTCGGCTGCTTTGTGGCTGCGAAACATGACAACGCTGCAGATACCGCGATTTTTGCTTGTTTCATAGATGTGAGCCCTTGGCAGCCCCCGCTGCTTGGAAGGAGCCGTGAATTCGTTATCTTGTTGCGACGCCTAGACTCCGGGACGACCAGCATCATGGGCATCACCTGGAGTTCTTAGCGGGCCCCGATTTGGTCCTCGGTGCGTGTGCGAGAATAGCCAAAAATACCGTCGTTTTTGCATGACTGTCACCATTGAACCCCTTCCAGGGCCCGATTGCTTGTCAGACTCTTGGCACACAGAAAAAGCCTACATGGCCCCTGGCATCTGCGAACAATTTTGAGGAGCGGCCCCTGATTCGCGGCAGGTGCTCTCGATGTGCAGTATGCACAAGAGAGGATCACCACATTCATGGCAACAGACAATCAAAGGCAGATCACATTGAGAAGCGCCTTTGTTCAAAAGCCCTCAAATTCTCAGATGCTGTACTGTGTTTGTACTACAATCGTCAGAGAGGCACACCTTCTGCACCTGTGTGATGATGCCCAAGCCCGCAGAAGCTTTGGTGACCCAGCTGCTGGCAAGGAGCAAATGAGATCAACTCTCGCACGTTCAGCACGTCTTTCTTGACCCAAGGAACAAGGCCTTGGATGTCGGTGTTGCAAGTCGCTTTATCCTCTCAAAGCTGCTGAAATACTACACATCTGCATGCCAAGTTACAGAAGTTCCTTGGCTTTCGCACAAGCATCGGTTGCTACTTACAGCTGTTGGCAGCACTATGACAGCAGCGAAAACGGCATGGCAACCTTTTCTCACGTCTCTGCAGCTTGTGGCCTTGAGCCATCCGGCCCCGGTTGGTAAGCTTTCTGCCTAGCAGCTGTTCTGGTCAAAAGAGGAAACCAACACCGACAGGAGACTCGATACAGCTTCCCCTAATAAGGGTTGACCAGAACGCCTCAGCAGCTTGCTGGTATTCGGTAACCAGTCGCGCCACAGAAGCTGCATGGCTTCGGTTCATAAACTTAGAGTCTTGGGCTGCTGCCTCAACTCCTCAGAAACATCTACAAGACTCAGCGTGCCGGTTTTCAAGAACTGATCCATCGCTCCATTGGCTTTCATCGGGTCCGCCTTGGTGAGGGCATCAACCAGCATTTTCTGGTGAGGTACCCACCTCACCATGGAAGAGGAGTCGCGAAGATCTTTGACTATTATCGCGAGTTCCAAAGCAGACTTTCTGTCCTGTTTGCCTTGGGGATGTTCTTTCATGATGCAGTCATACAAACTCTTCGCATCAGTAACGGAACACTGGGGCTGCTTCTGGAGCTCGACGCTCCCTCGCATGATGAGCATGTGTGGCGACAAAGAGTTGCGCCACTGCTTCAGCTCCACGTCGTGCTGCGTGGCATCCCGAACCATGATTTGCAACCAATCCACCTCATTGATGGCCTGCAGCATAGCCTGGGTCTCTCCTCCAAAGGTGGAGAACACTTTATGACGAAGCTTGCTTGAGCGCCACGAGAGTGGAGAGGCTTTCACCCGCTGGTTGCCGACCGGAAGGGAGTTTGCTGCTAGCACCATCCAAGCTCCCTGGGTGCCGTCCGAGGGCAGTCCATCTTCGTCGATGGACTCGAACTTGGATCCAGTGCCACCAGCGTCAGACACTGCCAGGAATGCCATGTTGAGCGGGTCGTGTCGCCACAGAACCAGTGGCCTCGACGAGGTGTTTCTGAGGTAGTTGATGTTCTTGTTCAAAACGATCACGTCCTCAACAGTGGCCCTCGTCAGCCGACTCGCCATCAAGGACGCTGTCCCACATACTTCCGGCCTTGTCTCCTTCGCCACCCAGTTCACCTTGTAGACAGCACTCCTGAAGCTCTGGAACTCCTCCTTGGTGAGGGGACTGTCTTTCTGAGACCTCCTGCCCTTGGAGAGAGCCACGGGGAGGATCTGCTCGTTGATGTACTTCTCTTGATGAAGAAGAATCCGATCGGAGGTCACCTTCACGAACCGGCCTGCATACTCAGCCTCGCCGTCTTCCCACTTGCCGAACTGGAACCTGGCTTCGAACTGCGTGCGCAAGGGCTCCCTCACTGCCTGATCACAACTGACAATAAAATCGTCCACTGCGATCAGCACTTGAGCTTCGTTGCGGCCTTGACTATCAAATCTCATCCAATAGCACGGTTCCACAAGGTTTCTGACAAAGCCTTCCTCGGACAAGAACTTCGTGACAGTGTTCCTCCATGCTGCCGGGGCGTCATCGAGCCCGTACACCGGGGCGTCGATCGCAATCAACGACCCCGGCTCCAGCTGCAACCCTTCACAAGGTTCGGCAAAGATGGGGCCTCTCGGGCGTCGCAGCCGATCCGATTGGCAGAACGCATTCTTGACATCCGTGAATGAAAAGAAGTGGCCAAGGTTCAACCCAACTTGCAAGAAGCACATGATGCTCTCGGTGGCTGGTGTCGGAGAGAATGTGGAAAGGCTGGCGGTATCTGGATCTTCATGCCCCGCTATACACCAGCGGGATTTCGCTTTCCAATTCCCTTCGCCGGGCTGCGGCTTTTTACGCCGCACCATGCGCGAGCTCAGCACTCGCTCGGGATACTTGCGCCTCATGAGCTCTGCTTCACGCCCTCGGAGAACGTGAACGGCCTTGGTCTTCAAGATGGCCTGCCACTCCACGACGTCGCTCTGCTCGAACAACTTCTTTTCGGCGTGCGACAGGTGCTTGAGGTTGACCTCGTCCGACCTGGAAGCCACAAAGGAAAACTTGCTCTGCTCATCCATGGAAAACCACTGACACAAGTCGTCGTCCAGGTGTTCCTCAGGCAGGGAGCTGGCCTGTCCGGCTGGTACCTCGCGCCCTCGCGTCACTGCGTCCAGAACATGCCGGATAGGAGTGCCAGGAGCTCTGACGGCAGCTGCCTCCGAAGTGTTGAGGCCGGGCAATGCAGAGCTTGACGCTCCACTGGAGGCCTCATTCCTTGCCTCTCGAGCATCCACCGCAGAGCGCTCCTGCTCTGTAGTTCTCTGGACCTTGCTCTCTCGCTGGTCCAGGGCTGGCTCCTCGGACGGAAGCTCCCCTTCTGGAAAGCGGTAGCTGGGATGCATCTCTTCCTCCGGAACCGGGGAAAGAGCCTCACTCGTCTCTGGCTCTTGAGCGGGTTCCCGCACGGACGATCTGCGGGATGGCCTCGACGAAGCTGCGGGGTCCGCGTTGTCGGTGTCCAGGTGCTGCGCCTGAGTAGGAGCTAGTTGAGCCGTCGGCAGTAGTCCCGGCGGCACGGGAATAGTCTCCTCAGGGCGTGGTCCACTCCCTGAAACTCTTTGAGGTTCTCGGCCAGGGGAAGACAGCGGAACTCCATCGGGATCACGATCGACTGGTCGAAGATGATCAGACTCGTCGGGTGGCCCTTCTTTGGACACATCGACCGCACCTGTTTGACTTCCCGAAACCACTTGCCGTAGGAGTTCTCCTAGAGCAGGGTCTGAGGCCAATTCTCGCCCGACGACTTCCGAAGGGAAAGCTGGGCGCAGTTGCTCGGGAGAACATCTCCACAGCCGAGTCCGCATAGCCACCCAGATCACGGATCTGGTATTCAACACCACCAGTCCTGGACCCACCCAACGGGGAGTGGGATGCAGCGCATCTCCGGCCTTGCCTCGGCGAAAACAGTAGACCCATTGACCGGGGCTCCATTGGCGAGCGGGTACCATGGAGCTGCGAACTGCACGGTGGATTGCCTCCTTGCTGGTCGCCTGCATAGCGAGCTGTCGAGCTCGCCCTCGAATGTCGTTTCTGCGACGAAACTCGGCGCCTGACTCATCCAGGCCTCCGGGATCCCGATAGGCATCAGACAAAGGCACTAGACCTCCCGGGTCCTCGGACAGGAGCTCACCGGGAACACGGGGCAACTCGCCGAACACTAGCTGCACCGGAGTGTAGCCGCCGGAATTGAACCAACGATTCTTGGCTGCCAAAAGCTGTGCCATGAAGTCGTCCAGCTCGTCCGAAGAAGATAAAGTGAGCTGTCCGGACTCGATCTCTTGCTTCAGCTTCTGCTTCAGCCAACCTCCGTGTCGCTCGGCCCGGCTGTTTTGCCACGGGCTCTCTGGAGCTGTTGCGTGCTGCAAGACTCCCTGTTGTTCCAGTCCTCTTTCAAAGACTGAACGAAACTCGTTGCCCCCGTCTGTCACAATCATCTGGGGAGGCCCCAGAAATCGGAGCCACGAGTTCACGAAAGCCTTCCAGGTGGCTGAAGCCGTAGGGGTCCCAGAAGTTCCCTCAATTCGCTGTGCTATGCGATAGCCTGTACCATGACACACCATGTTGAGAACCGGCACGCTGGACCCTCGGAAAGAAACGTAAAAGACATCCACTGAAAGCACTCGATTGAACGCAAAAGTTCTCGGACATTGAGCCTTTCGGCGATGATCTGGTCCTCGCCTGATGGCGCAGACGTCACAGGAAAATTCATCTCGAACGTACTTCAGCACGCTTGGCCTTGCACCGGCCGCCTTCAAGGTCCGTAGCAGACGATCTCGAGGAGGATGTCCCATATTCACATGGATCTTCTTGATCAAGGATTTCTGAGACTCGGACAGAATCTCCTGCCGGGGCTCGGGACCTGGGCCATCCTCGTCGAACTCCTCGTCGTTGGCCTGGTCGTTCTGATCATCCTGCAGAACAGGGTAAGATGGTTGGTGATGCTTCCACCAAGGCGCTCGCAACATAGGACACCTTCGGGGTTCTGTCTGGATAACCATCTAGCTCGAAACCAAAATGCCGCAACTCGTCTGTCCGGGGTGCATCAAGCCCTTGGGAGGACCTGGTCTGATAAACAGTGATGCTCCACCGCGTGCCCTCCCACGGCTCCACTCCGTGGTGTCGGCGGGGGTCGAAGGAAATCATCCTCTTGCGATGGGAAATCACACGTCCTCGTTTTTCAGCACCAGAAGGCATAGACCTGATCTCGGAGCCAGACTCGTCCTCGACCCACAGTCCTCCGCCCGTGAACTTGCCGAGAGCGATGCTGTAGTTCGTGCCGACATTGTTGATGTCCTTGTGGTACTTGATGCGGCTTCCGCTTGACACCACCAGGGAGGATCTAGGGCCGGAAGCGCCATGGAAAGTCATGAAGGCGTTGAGGTAACGCGTGACCCATACTAGCTGCCCAGTCGCCCTCGTGACTCCTGAAAACTTGCCATAGGTGAACTGTCCGAGGAGAAGGTACACGTTGGATCGCTGAGCATCCCGCCTTCTGCGAGATGACGAGGGCCAGGCCGTTGATGTCAGCAGTCGAAGACATGACGTCATGGAGAAGTCTCGCGAGTCCAGCAGCCTCTTCGCCGTCTGTTCGTGCGGGGCCAAGTCCCCTTCGGCCTGCGCCGGATTGGAGAAGTCTCGCATGTCCTGCCGTCTCTTCGCCGTCTGCTCGTGCATTTGCGAGGGCCGATCCAGCATGTAACTCACGAGGTCGGGGGAGTTCGTCGCCCAGCCAACTCCATCATCTCTTCCCACATATAGGAAAGTGTCATCGAGGAAGCACCTGCCTTGCGCAGAGGGCCAAATGCCGTGATCGTGGGGTGCCTCGATGTAGAACTCGCGCCCGCTGCTCATCTGTGATTTTGCCACTTCCAACGCGAAGCCGGCCTCGACGCCATTCTTGACTGCCCCACGTCCAGCGGGAGCTTCCTCTGGAGCACGCAGCTTCATAGCCACCATTGTTGGACACTTGCGTTCCAAGAATCTCCGACACCTCGTCCGATGTTCTTTGTCCTCCACATTCCAGCCGGCAGCCTAGGTGAACTGTTCGTGTGGGGGAGCAATGCGCAGCCTCTTCTCCTGCAACGCCGGCGTCACCTGGAACTCCTGGAAGACCTCGACGAAGTCCACTCGGTCATGGTGAGCACGAGCTTGATATTGAGCCGCCACGTGAATCAAGCCCTTCTCGGCCTGCTCCTTCTCCTTGATCGGAATGTGGTAGCTCGAAGGAGTAGCCATCAACGAGGAGGCCCAACGTTCTAGCCGCGGTGCTCGTAGTAGCCAAAATGGCCCCATGGTGGAACTATTGCCGTCCTCGTCATAGCCCTGAGTGGGAAAACTGTCGTCCACATTTTCTTGAAGAAACACCAAGTCTCTAGGGCAGCTCCAGGTGATGAGGGCGGAACCGGTGTCCCTTGGTGTACCGGGTCCTTGACTCATTAAGAGCCCTCGTTCATCGCGCTGCGAGTGCCATAGTACTCGATCGTCACCCGGAGGTAGTCCAGAGGTGCTCGTAATCCAGGGTCGCCGCATCCAGGAGGAGGAAGAGCTGTTCTCCTCGGCCGGGAGCTTCGGGTAGTACACGACCCAGCAATGCTCGTCGCCATTCTTTTCCCGGACCTTGTGCCGAAAGGCATCCGTCATATGAGCCCAGGAAATCAACTGTGTAGCCGCCATGCACCATGTCATCTTCAATGGCCAGCCGCCGGGAGGTCGTGCTCGTTTGGGTTTGGCTCTGGTCGAACCGGAGACCAGCTGGTGGGAGTGTCGTTCTCGTCCTCCTGGTCCACCTGCATCTGCAACGCCACGGTCTCGTTCACCAGCTTGTCCATCTGGTCGGGCGACAAGCCGGAGATGTCGGACCGCATGCCCTGTTGCATCATCGCCAGCATTTGACCCTGCCCTTGAGCAAGGTCCCGAAGCGAGGACGTCATCTCCTTGAATCCGGCCATCATCATCGCCTGCAGAGTGGCATTCAAATCCGGGTGGATCTCCGTGTCCGACACACTCCTTGGCGGGGTAGTCGAGGAAGTTGCCAGGGACGGTCTCGCCGGAGGGGTGAACGCCGCCCCCATCGCACCATAGTCGTTCCTTCGAGCCCTGGCCTTCGCCTTGGAGCGAGGATGCTTGGGAGTATATGAGGTCCTCGCCGAGCATCTGGGACACACTGTCCATGTTGCATACTGATTTGCCCTCTTGATCGGAACCCCGGGATGCAGGCACCGACCTGGTTCTTGAGCGTCGTCCGTGAGGAACTTGCGTCGCTCCGAGAGGACACTCTTCTGGGCGGTCTCCGCCACCGCCAACCTCCGATAGCCAACACGAATGATCTCCCACATGTGGAACATCCGCATGACCACCGCCTGCCATCGCATGATGGGTGAGCTCACACCACTCGCGCCGCTCGTCGCTCGAGACGAAGGTTCCATGTTCACGGTCGCGAGGGAAATCGAATTGAGAACCCGAAGGCACCAGGCTGTTGCCCATTTGAGCAGCAGTGCTGTGGGTTGAAGAACAGTTCTCTTCCTCTGACACGACATGACCTGTAGTACAGCTAACAGAATTGTGGATCGCAGCATGGTTCTCATCTGCCAAGATATGATCGACATACTCAACGCTTCCAAATCGGACACGCTTGAGGTGCTTCAAGGAGGTCGGGTGCACATCAACTGACCTATCTGCAGACTGCCTGAGACACTTCCCCTCGAAACCCTTGTTTGTGTATGCGGATGAGGCCGAAGGCTTCATGAAGGCGTCCTTTGGCAAGTCATACTGCTCTTTCGCAGCCTCGGGGACCTCAAAATCGCCGCCTTCCCATTGGACCAACGGAATAGCTCGATGTCCTGAGGGAAGACGAGTCATGGGGAGGCTCACTCCTATGGTCTTGAGATGAACCTCGTCGCTTTCAAGATCGAGCTTTGCTCCAAGATGGGCCAAAAGCCCAACTGACAAAAGAGGGGGTACATGTCCCTCGATCACCACAAACCGCACAACTCCAGGAACTCCTCCGAAGGCAACCGGTGTGAGCACGGCCTTGAGAACTTGAGCTTGGCCGCCGATTCCCGTAGGGGCCGCCGAAGGAGCTGGGACCACGACTAACTGAAGACCTTTCGCCTCCAGTTCACATTCCAAGGCTGACAACGCATGATGCCCGATGATGTCTTGAGTGGCACCAATGTCCAGAATCGCCAGCCCCGGCGGGATGGTCAAGAAAGACCAACTCTGGGAGGCAGGAAGTCTCACGCCTGCATCCTCGGTCTCGGCATCCCATGCGGCAAAGGTGTAGTGTGAAGAGGCCGTAGACGGTGCAGCAGAAGTCTCCCCGAGGTAGCAGAAGCCTGAGAGCCTCGACGATGATCCTGCCGTGGCTGCGGTCGTCGAGGAAGTGGGGCCTGCTTGACGGCAATCCTCTGACCAGTGTCCCCGTTTCCCGCAAGTGTTGCACTTGGAGATCTTCTTCAGCTGTTCCTTGGTCATTCTGCCTCGACCACCGGGCGAATAGGGTCGAGTACCTTCCTTGCCGGCGCTGGACTTCATGAAGCTGCCTCGTTCTTTCCGGATGTCCGCCTTGAAACGCTTGTTCTCCTTCCACGTTCTTTTGCGAAAGGGCGGCCTGTTCTCCACCATGGCGAAGATGCAAGCCGCCTGCTCCTCCGTGAAGTTCATGCCCGTGATCTCGGCCAGCACGTACTCGTCCTCGAGAACTTCCTCCGGGATGTCACTCTCCTGGTCCTCGGAGAGGTCAAGGTCGGGCTCCGTCGCGAAGACCGGAGCCTTGTGGTTTTCGAAGGCCACAAACCCAGACACCCGGTCGCTTCGTGAGTCCATGCGGGCCAGGGTGGTCGCCAGAAGATCAATGTCGTGATCTCTACCTTGCATCAAGGCCGTCAGATTCTGGAGGCCCTGCTCTGACAGACCCGCACCTTCACGAAGCATTGCCGCCTTGAACTCGTTCGGGAGCTGAACCCCAAAAGCGGCCGCCTTGGTGAAATCCCTCAATCGACGCATGGCGAACTGAGCCAAACTCTCGTCGCGGCGCTTTCCAACGTCATGCATGACGCTGCGATGCGCTTGGCGGCGCTCGTCGTCTTCTCGAACTCCAGCCTTCATCTCGATGATCTGGAGAATGTAGTCGAGGTACCTCGGCGAGCCCAGCTGCTCCTCGGTGAGGTGCTCGAAGTCCACCTGCATCTCCCAGCCTAGAGTCCTCAGGACCTTCTCGGCACGCCGAAACAAGGGGATGTCCGTCTGCTTGTCCCATCTCCTCACCGAGGTGACCCACTGCCTTCTGTAAGACCATCCGGGCCACGTAGGAGGGTCGCTGAAATCTCCCTTGTAGCCGCCGGGCACAGAGTCTGAAGGCCTCCAAGGATTGGCCCATCCTCCCGGAGCCCCAAACCTTTCGCCACGACCACTGTTTCCGCCCAGCACTGGAGGAACATTCAAAGCTGGCATCCTGAGACCAGCGGGAGCCTGCCACATCGCCGGGTTGGGCTGACCGACACCGACAGGTAGAGCAGGTCCAGGTAATCCGCGAAGAAGAGGTCCTTGCAGGTGTGGTAGAGCTTGTGTGCCTGCTTCTCCAGGCTGTCCTAGATCTGGTCCTCGGGGTTGAACAGGAGTTCCAGGTCCTGGAGGAAGGCCTGGAGGGGCAGCCGATGCACCATGACCAGGGCGCTGAGGAATCGTCGGCGCCTGACATGCCGTGATCCACGGTGGCGCAGGAGGAACCAACTGCGGCGATGGAGCCCCTGAGTTAGCAATTCCTCCCGTGGTCGCCCCAATCAATTGTCTCGCGGCTTCCATGCAAGGATCTATCTCTTGCTCTGGGAAGCCGGCCGGTGCTGCAAGTCTCGTAGTAGGAACCGAAGTCGAGGCCGCACCCGCCGATGGCGCTGCGGCTCCTGCCCCAGGGTGACTAGCCGTTTCCCCCGGTAGTCTCCCGTCGTCTGCTGATTGGCCGGAGGTCGTCAAGTCGCCAGTCGTCATGTAGATGGATGCTTCCGGGCCATAGCTGTTCCAGCCCGCATCCCACATAGACGCCTCTCTCCAATCATATCCCCACGAGGAGGCCTGAGCTGTCCAGGGATCGTCGAAGTTGTTGCCGCTCACCGTAGCGCGCTGCCAAGAGTGCGCAGGGTAGTGGATTGGGCGCCCATAGTCCATACGAACCAGGCGCTCCGCTACCAACTGTTGGCAGCACTATGACAGCAGCG